GAGCCCAGGGAGAAGCACCATCCTTCCAAAATCAAATAAACCTACACATGGCCCCTTGCTATGGCTCATGCACAAAAATTCTCCTTACTCGAGCCCCTGGTCTGAATCATTCAATCATCCACTGCAGGTGGTCCTCAGCCCTCAAACTCAAGACCCTTTCTCTATCTATTTCTTTTTCCATCTTTTTTTTTTTTTCTTCTCCTCCTTGTTGCATAACAAAGTGCCTTCATATCCTCAGGTAATTTTGGAAGAACAATTTTGAATAGGGAAGAGGGGATGGCCAGGTAATTAAGCGGGTGGGGAAGAAGGTTGATAAAGAGCTGCTAATAGTCACTTTTACATGCTGTTATTTCGAGCGAGGAAAATAAATACAGAAGGGCTGTAGGGCCATCAGACTCTGCAGTGAGCGTGACATAGGAAAGAATTGCAACTAGAGCAAAGCAGGAAAAGAAAGCAAAAGGCTGCAGAGTGGGACAACTCCAAGTCTGAAGTCTTGCCCGTTCTTCCCAACTAGTCCATATTACTTTAATGTACATCCATCTAACAGAAAATCTAACATTTTTCAAGATAAGAAGAAAATGCAAAATATATAGTGAAGGGGAAGAAAAAAAAATAAAAGAAAGAAATTCTTGACTAATCTCTTTTCCTTCCTATTTCTGTCAACTTTTCATCTCCACAGTCCTTTCTCTTCCTACTTCTTATACTTTGTGAGACACAAAATAAACGTGGAATTCAGACTTCCTAATTGGTAACTGGAAGTTTTCTTTATGTTAAAACACAATGATCTGTTTATTGGAAACTGCTCTTCTGTAGTACCAGCCATCTCTCCATGTCATGATGTCTGAATAATGCCTCTTGAGGATGGGGAAGAAGAATAGCATCACAGTCAGACCCCGTGGGGTTATAAATAGCATTCTAGCAGCCTGAAAAGCTGAAGCCATCATTAAGTTGCATGCAGCTGTAGTGGTGTAGGTGGGTGAGTAAGAGCAACTCAGAGATGGGATAATGGTAACCTGGTACACAAGGGTAATTTTTCATTGATTGCGTCACTCTGTTGGGCTATTGTGCTCTCCCTAAATTACGTCCCTCTGTTTAAGAGAGCTGAGCAAGCTCAGCCTCAGCAAAGCACATTTAAAAGAAGATTAGAGGGGAAAACAGTTTGTTGTGTATTGTGATTTATACCAAACTGTGATAAACTTTTCTCTCTTGGGTCAGTAATTGCTTTTATCTTTCACTGGTCAAATCAGGAAGTTGATGCAGCAATTTAGCTCAGGCTGTCCTTTCAGTGTTTTTCTTAGCAATGTGGTTCATTTTGTCATCTTGGATGTTTTCAGTGCCAAGACAACAAAGATCTTGATTTTGGAAAATCTGTTTCAATTTATTACTATTAATTTGCTTGCAGATATATAAAAATGGAAAAATTCTACCCTAATTTCACATAGTTTTTATTTAAAAACCGAGATTAAAATAATTAGTTGCCTAGGTTAGTTTGAGCTTGCATACACAAACATACTAATCTTCATTCATTTCTAAACTAAAAAAAATGAGATCTTGTTCCTACTCCCAGTGCAGTTGGTGGGGGAGGTGCCTTTAACTTCAATAGATATATGACTCAGCTTAATTCTCCCTGTGGGACCTGCCAGTATATAAAGATTCTTTAGGGGTTAATTGCTTGCAGAAGAGACTTTGCCTGGCATCTAAAAGAAAGGTGCAAACTGCACAACTGGAGCCTCAGTTCTGTACTGCAGCCTGGAAAAGACACTGTCATTTAAAGTAAAGGTATCTCTTTTTCTAGCAATTCTGCATCTTAATAATTAAATTTGGTAATTCATTAATTTAGAGTATATCTTAGAGAGTTACTTGCTTTGCCATCTTGCCCAGTAGCTGTGGAAGTAGGACAAGTGCATTTATATTTTACTGAAATTATTCCTTTTGGCTTTTTTTGTTTGTACTCTTTCAAGAGTCCTTTTTTAAAAAAAATTACTACTTTGAAGTAGACTTTTAGAAAATATTTATAAAGGAAACATGAAAGAAATAACTGTTGCAAGAGTGGAAGAGAGGATTTCTAAACTAAGTAGATAGAAGCATTCTTATCCAGACTTTTCAGATTTATGTGTGTGACTTCATTACATAAATGTGCCCTTTGCTATTCTGAAAAATCTAAGAGATGTATCGCTACCAATTAAAAGTAGAGGGAAGGTTGTTTCTTCATCTTTAAAACTCTATATTCATTCTCCCATGTCACATTTTTTGTAATCCTTTCCCACCTGTATTACACTTGGAATAATCCTTCTCACTCCTTGTCACATGTGCATTAAACCTCTTTTAAAGAACAGACTTAGGGCTTCTAAAACAAGCATTTCATTTTTGTTGCACTGTGATGTCAAATCACCATTAGAAATCTCACGCATATACCAATCTGGAATTTCTTCTGCAATCTCCTTCTTTCATAAATTGCTGTACATGGTCAACCATAACATGAACTGCTGGCAGTGCCCCTCTGTTCACTGCAGCTTTTGTTGCTCATATGGAGGCAAAAATTAGCCTGTAGATAACTGAGTATATAGCTCAGTCTTCCAGAAATACCCATGCAAGTGTTATAGATTTGTTTGCATTAGCAAGGATTCTCAATGGCAAATGGTAATAGTACTCTCATTTTGCTTTTTTAGGATTGTAGAAAAACCTTAACATAGGAAGGATTAATCTCGTGAAACTTTGGTTTGTAACTTTGAGGAAACACTATGGCTTGTATGAAAGTAAAAGGGTTTAAAAGTTTATAGTTGGAAAAGGGGCTTGCCTTTTTTCTAATGACAGTTTTGTTGATAAATTGTGTTTTGTATCAGTTTACTAGACCTTAGTGTGATGGCACCAGAATACTATATACATTTATCAGCCTTCAAAAAAAAAAAAAAAAAAAAAAAAAAAAAAAAAAAAAACCCCAAAAAATCAGATTAAGAAAAGATGTTGTTATTTATTGGTCTCCAGTACAGGAAGTTAATCCTATTCTCAGACAAACTCTATGGTGTACTCAAGATGTAGAAGCGGGTTTTACCGCACTACCAGCAGAAAAGCTATGATGAACAAGTCTGGAAGATTAAAACTATTTACTTTTAGAAACTTGACAAACATCTAATTGACAACATATTTGTGCCTGCAATTTTCTAGGTATTTTCTTCCTTAAATGTAGTGACATTTAAAAAATACAACATGCAATATAAATTCTTATTATCTAAAGTGAGTTTTAGTGTGGCTTTCTAAGGAAATTAAGTTTTTGTGAGCACTTTGTTAATCTGTCAATACCTTCTTTGAAAACTTCTAGCTCTTCAAGCCTGTTTAATCTGTTGATGAACTTCAAATACATTTAAAAGATGGTTTCAGATCTCAGTTATCAGGATTTCTTAAGTTTCCCAAACACTATTGTCTGGATAAAAGAAAGACCAAATTAGTGGCTCAGTTCAGCTCAACAGTTTTCTCTGCTTTGTCTTTTTGTCCAGCTGGTCGATAAAGGATGCCGGAGGAACTGACGGTTCCTTTCTCTGAGCAGGCAGAGGTCGTGGATTAAAAAAGTATACTCAAAAGGAGTGTGATGCATATACCTGGGATATCTCTAGAAAGGAACTTAAAGGAACATAGGAACACAAACCCTTTGAAACTCAGGGTTGAATAATGCTGTTCGAAGTTTTTAAGTCACCAGCACAAATCCTTACAGATATCAGGGAGGCTGTGAGACAAGTTATAAGACCTGTTGAAAGCGGCTTTTAACTTAACTTCTGACACATTTCTTGTCTCATATAAATGAAATTTTCCTCATAATGTTGCCACTAAGGTCCTTTTCTTGCCCATTTAATCAACTTCACTGAGTTCCCCTCCAGAAACATCCCTTTCCCGAGGTGTGAAGCAGATACTTGTCTGCACTGACACTAGAACTTCCCCAGGCTGTCCCAAGCTAACACAGATCACCAGCCATGGTCCATATGGACCCTCTTCATACAATGTCAGCATTTCCAGTCTTAATCTGCATTTATTTCTCCTTTGCTTCCCATGTCCAGCACTGTAAAGCAACCACCTTGCCCCCTCATTTGAGTCATTATTCCAAACTCACTCCTTTCATGGGATGTACCAGAAAGCTGTGGACACAAGAGCAGGGCTGGTGGCAGGCTCTGCCTGCTGCTGCTGACTGCTGGAGACTTCTGTGGTCACTCCCAGTTATTTGCTACCTCATTTGACCTGCACCCCTTAAGCCCATTTGTTTGCCTCATCTCCTAACTACACCTTGCCTTTGAGAGTGTGTCTGTACTGCTCTCCAGAGAATTAATTACATTGCACGTGCAGTCACACCAGTCTCAGAGGAGAGGCAGTGGGGCTGATGGCCTTTGCTAGTTCTTTAGGGATCTGCTCTGCTATGCAGTCTGTCTTGCCCCCGTTTCTCATGTATCTTCCTGAGCTTAAATAAAACTGCTGAAATTATATGTTCCAGTCCAAGTGTAGAAATATTTTTTTGAACAATAAACTTTCTGAGCAAGGACTACCAGTTTGTACTGGTCTTTGCCAGGAGTCATGACACAGGGCTTTAAGACACTGTCTTACAAAATTTTCCTTGTAGTATATGAGCTCGGTTCAGATTGTGCATAAAATGTTGTTTCTGTTCAGTTAAGTTTGAGGAATAGCAGCAAGCCAAAAAGTTGTCCACGTTTTGGACAGAAAGGGAGCCTGGGAACCAAGCGTGCGTTTGCTCAATGAGCCGTTGCAAGCTGCACTCGTGAGCAGGGCATAGGACCTAGGGACGGAGAGGCGGGGCCGAGCACCATCGAGGAAATTTTTAAGCTCCTAAACGTGACGGTCGCTGCGCGGCCGTTTGTTCGTCCGCCGGTGGAAGGAAGGCAGGCTCCTTCCAGCGAGCGGCAGCGCCGGGGCCGCGGCGGGAGGCAGCGGGGCGGGCGGAGCGGGCTCTGCCGGGCGCGGGGGCGGCCGGAGCAGCCGGGGGTGCGCGGCCCGCCCCGCTCCGCCCCGCCGGGCGCCGCTGCCATAGCGATGCGGCAGCGGGCAGCGGCCGGGACGCGCGGCGGCGGCAGGGGGCCCCGGCTCTCCCCAGGTAAGGGCGCTGCTCCGGTGCCGCTGTTGCTGGTTCTACGCTACGAGATGGGTTTTTAATCTCATCTCGTTGTATTTGTTCTCCCATCTCCCCCCCGTCCCTTCTGCCCGTTCAGGTGCAGTTTCTCCCAGAGCCGCTTTCTCTGGGAACTTCTCCGCCGAGAGCGGCGTCTCGTGCTCATTTATCGTTCGATGTTTTCTTTCCGCGTGGAAAGTTGCGAGGGGTACCAGGGCGCAAGGGCCGGCCGAGGGTTGGGTGCCCGGCGGGCTTTTGTCCGGCCCGGGTGCCGCGGCGGCGGGGCTTGGCCCGGCTCTGCCCTGCCCTGCTGCCCGGCCGGCTCCGCTGCGACCCCGTCAGCAGCGGGGATTAAAAACTGCGGCGGCCGGTATTCCAGGCGTCTTGCTGAAGCGCAACCAAGTCCTTTTACCCGCGGAGGAACAGAGGCTCGCAAAACTTTCAAAGTGCGCTCAGGAGCGAGCAGCCTGAAAGGCAGCGGGCACGGGCTCCGCAGCTGCCGCGTTTCACGTGGAGGTGGGGAGTGGCTGTGCGGATCCAGCCGGGCGCCCGGCGGTGTCCCCGCGATGGAACCCACCCCCCCAGGCGGGCTCTTGCACCTCCTGCCGCTGCGCCTCCGCCTCGGCCAAAGCCCCCGTCCCGCTGCCCTCCGAGACCCCTCGGCCCTTGCGATGGGAAAGAGACAAAGAAGGGTCCAGGGCTGCCCCCTTCCCCAAAGCACAGCTAGGCACCTTCTCTCCTTGTTTCGGGTGAGGGGGGAATCCTCCCCCGCCGCCCCCATGACCCCGCAGACAGTGGCAAGTTTTCGAAAATCCCACTGCCCCTTGCTGAAAGTGAGCTTTGTTTTTAAGGTGGAGCCAGCTTCAGACTGGGCATCCCGGTGGTTTGAGGGGCATTGTTTACCGTGGTGGGAAAAACGCCTGCCTGCCTGGCAAAGACCCCTGGCTGGGGTAGGAGACACATGGTCGATGGTCCCCCCACAGCTTTCCTAGGCACTGGAGTGTGATCTGGTCTGCTGCATCTCCCAGTCTCAGCTGAGAAGGAGATCCTTTACCGAATGTCCCAAACACTCCAGTCAGTTTCAGATTCAAGTTTTCATTTTGCTGTCACCATAGCATAGGGTAGCTTCTGGATGTACTGCTTTTAATTCTTGTTTTCTTTTGTAGGGAAAAAGACTTTGCTGTGCACTTGATGTAATTTCTTAGGATTTTATATGCCAGGGGACAGACAAATCAGTCAAGTGTCACACAGCCTTCCAACAGAAGCAAGTCTAGGAAAAAATATTATATTATTATATTTTCCTATTCTTTGCCTCCTGTTTGAGATGTCCCTTGATGAATGTGTTCTGGATGAAAACCTCCCATGTGTTTTGGGGCTCAGTGCTGAGCACCTGAGGGGGAAGACTGGATTGCTGTTACTGGGAATTTCTTTCTCTTATGTGCGTATGAGGCTTGTATTTACCATTGTAAGGTAGGTGTACTAGTCATACTGAATTTATTAGCTGATTAGCATTAGAGAAACAAGTACATATTGAAATTATTCTGGTCTCTTAAATTGCTGACGAATGCAATTATACTTTGAGGGAATGACAGATACCTTCTCTGCATCCCTGCAACACACCTTTGTTCACCATAGAAGAACTCCTTCATTTTGTGTGTGTCTTTATTTCCTACAATGTAGCTGAAACTTCTTTTAGTTGAGGACTTTGTAAGAGCATTTTTTAATGTTGGCTTTTGTTTTCTTGATGCAGGCAGCGCCACCTGAGGAGCTCAGCTCACCCAGTCGATGTGAAGGCAAGGCAGACAAAGGTGCAGCAGATGAAGGGGAAGCAGCGAGGTCAGCTGGAGACAGCAGTGTTGCTTTGAGCTACCCCAGCCTCCACCTTCATGCCTACAGCATCGAGAGCATGACAACATTTCCGAATGGCTGTGGAAATGGCACCACCGTTAGTTGTATAGTTATGGATAATAAAGAGCCCCAAAACCAGACTACCTGTGCCAGTCATAATGGGGGACACAGCAACAGCAACAGTCTTGAGGAGGAATTTCAAGAGGACAAGCTCAGCCCTTCCAAAATCATGCGTTTTTTCACCACCTCTCGGAAACGGGCTAATTCCAGCTCTGACAGGCCTCGTTCTCTGGTTCTGATGGGCAACTCATCCACGTGGAATGCCTTTTCTTCTATCAGAAAGATGGGATCTTTCAAGAAGTTGAAATCTTCAGTTCAGCAAGGAACTGAAACAAGGGAATGCTCAGACATAGTAAATGAGAACATCATAGGCAAACATGGTTCAAATGGAGCAGTGGTGCGAGTTCAGACTAACAGGTATTCCTATTCAGGACCTGTACATGATTTCGAGAATGCAGTGGATGGTTTAGCTTCTGACTTCTCTGATGTGGAGGAGAGCGATGAGTCCTTCCTGAGGAACACTCATCGCTCACGCAGCATCAGGCGGGCTTATGGTGCTGGCCGCATAAACTTGTTAGACACAGATAAAGTTCAGAGTCGTCACAACTATGTTAGGCCAACATCACCTGTCATTGCAGAGCCAAAGATCTGTGAAATTTTGGTGAAAGACTCCGAAAACAACAGGATCATTTATTGGAGAAGCAAAAGTTCAGATAATTTGAACTTTCTGAAGAAAAGCTCATTCAAACGGAAGTCCACCTCAGACCTCGCTGATCTGAAGGTTGCAAATGAAAAACAGATGCCAGCAAGGACTGTGCGTGTTGCTTCTGCTGACTCTGACAAAAGTGGTGGAAACCCTGAGAGGCGATCCAAGCGATGGAAGAGCCCTATCAGAGCAAAGGATTTTGACCGCGTTTTGAAACTTGTCAGTAACGTTACAGATGTTGCAAGGAAGAAGGATGGCCCCAAGAACGTGGCTCCTTCTTCCAGCGAGCTGTCCCAGAGAACAAGGTCAAACAGCAGGCTGCACGATGACTACTCCCGTAGGGTTTCCAGCAGCACAGATCATGACAGGAAGAGATGCACCTCCTCGGTATCCAGTCCAGACTCTTCCTTGCCGGGAACACCTTGCCTGCAAAGCCCTGTGATTGCTCAGGATAAAAAGGCTGAAATGAATGTAGCTGTCACTGAGGATAAAAACCTCAGGATGTCATCAGATATCCCAGACTCTGATAGCTTTTCACCTACTCTGGATGACATTAGTCCATTTCCCAATGAAGTCTTTTATTCAGACTCAGATGAACCAAAACCTACTCAGCAGTGTACAGATGAAGCCGGAAACCTTCATGTTCCAGTCAGGCCAACTACTCCAAAGCCTCAAAGTCCAACTGCAGGAAAGGTCAAGTGCAGTACGAATTTCCAGTGTCCAAACCATCACAGCACATTGTCGCTGAGCTCATCGGAGAGCGAGGAGAGAGTTGAGCTACTGGGGCTGAAGCTGGTCAGGAATCCTGTTTGCTTCCAGGACTCAGTGCAAACTGTGTATTATGATGATGGAAATGAAGACAGTGGCATAAGCAGCCACTCTCAGCTGAGCCTCAATTTAGCCTCTGGTACTGAAGAGAAAAAGGAAGAGGTAAGAAAGAAAGCAAAATCCTTCAGAAGTGATGTATATTCCCTCTTGGGTTTTGTCTTTATTAATGCAAAACAATGCAAAGTAATGGCTGCTGCAGCTTGTTATTGCTAAAATATGCTGACAGCAATTATTTCCTTTAAATATTCTCTTTGGATACTAATGTACAATTATTTTTTCTTTGCACATTAATATCAAAGGAAGTTTTGGCAGCAGGGGTGTTTGTGTAAGTTTTCAAGGGCAGTTCATTGCACCCTGAAGATACACCACCTTGTCATGTGGCCTTGTCAGACTTTACCAGCCTGAGCAGGGTCTGGCTGTGTTTCCTTCACAGCTGAAAGGTCTTTTTAATTTTAAAGAGTCCGTGTATTCTGAAGTAGTGTTGACTTACTGTAAAACACTTTGCCTGTGGAAACCTTGCAGAACATTGTAATATTTGTAGAGCAGTGTGGCGTGAAAGACACAGTACAGAGGTTTAAGCATTCAGTTGTACCCAATGTTTTCCCTGTGCGGTGATGACCATACTGAGGGTAAACAGCTTGCTTATTTTGCTTGCCAACTGCAGACAGCAGTACTTCAGATGCTGGGCTTAATGTGTTGCTACTGTTGTTTTGGTGATGATACGGTTGTTTTCACTGCACCTGATGGGTGATATCATACTCTCAGGGAATGGGTAGATAGATATATTGCAGCACCTCTGAGGTAAATTCACATGATAACACTGTGCCCCCACCTGAAGTATGGAGTGAGTTGGCACCAGAGAAGTTGCAATGATTTGGCAGCTGGTGAAGAGCTGTCAGACATACCCTGCACCTGTCTGAAGCAGTGAGGCTTAGCTCAGCCCCAGCTCATTGGAGCAAAAATCCATCTGGATCTGTATAAACATGCAAGTCATTCACAAAATAAAGCTGACATACCTTTTAAGCCACCTCAGTTTGACTAAAGTATCTTAGACCTTAGGTATGAGATAGGCAAGGTGGTGCTGCAGCTGTACAATCTTCAGCCTTTTATGCTGTGAAATTTTAAAATGTCTGTGAAGCTGTCCTACTTTTAAAAGCTTGGCACAGTTTTTGCAAACTACCTGTAAATAGTTACAGAGCTTATCAGTATTGTCCTTCTGCTGGAGAAAAGCAATTTTGTTTACTGTTAAGTTTGCAGCAATGGTAAGATTGAAAAAATAAATTCAGTGTGTATAAATGTCTGGGCTCAGAGGTTATTCCTCTTCTGGAGGTGTAGAACTGCTCCAAGCATCCATATATATCAAAATTCTCACTTACATGCAAGGAGAAGCTTTCACACTGCCAGAAGAGGCGAGAGCCCTAGTGTGGATAGAAGCCAGTTGTATTTCTCAGGAGTAAAATGAGAGATGGAATTAATGCTACTCATCTACCATCTAGTGGTGAGCTGCCATCATGACCCAGAAAAATTAATCTGGTCCTTCCCCTTAGCTCCCAAAAAACAGAACAGTTTTTACATGAATGTGGATACATTGAGTGGATAAAAGTTACTGCAGTTTCTAGTTTTAACACCACGTTCTGTTATTATCTAACATGCAATTTAAGCTTTCTCTTTATATTATTATATATTTTAGGGTAATTGTGAGTGTCCTTTGGTGCTTGCTTAAGTTGTCTAAAATACACAGTGTGCACTGGTTGCAGCTCTGGGTTTGTGTAATGTACAGGCAGACAATATGGGATGGATCCAAGCAAAAGATGGAGGAAGTGGTGGCCAGGAAGCAGGCCCCTTGGCTGTAAGCCCTCACTCTGCTGTGAGCCCTGCCTGGAGGCTCTGTGCTTCATAAAAACAGCTGTGGCATAGCTGCATCCAGGCAGACCTCTCTTCTGATGGAAAAAGCCAACATTTTTGGAGATGGAAGCAGGATCTGGGCAGGACAGGGTCTGCTTTTATCTTACTATACAAGGGGTATAAAGTCTGTTATTTCTTTATTCCATGCCTGTTCCATCTCATACACAACCCTTAAAGCTGTGGCACTCAAGAGTGACTGCAAAACAGGTAGAGTGGTATGTTTTTTTCCTACCATTTCTTTGGAGGATTTAATTTCCTGCTTTACAGCATGCTTCCCTCAGCATGGAGCTAGCTTGGCACCAAAGATACTTATGCTAGGTTATTTTTTAATTGGAGTTTATTCAGCCTGTAGGCACTTTTATGAATTCCACATACTCACACAATGAGGTCACTGGGGTTTGAACTTTTTACTACAATTCATTTTTACTTTACACCTCCATGTTACAGAACTGTACCTTCCCAGCAAGTTGTTCTGTGATGGATGAGTGCTTAGTTTGCTCCCAGCAATCATTTTAGATGTAGTGTGGAGCCATGGACATCACACATTTTCAAAATTTTGTCTGAACCTTAAGTACTCTGTGTTGATGGACAACTCTGCACTGTTTCCACATTTCATGGATCTGCCTTTCTGTCCAGATTTCATGTATAACACAGTATGTATTCTAGTACAGCCACTAAAGCTTGAAGACATATTTTGGGTACAAAGGCTAGAAGATCCTAACCAGTCAGACTCAAATAAGTTATCTTTTCAGGACTGGCTGCTGTAGCTGGAAGCAAGTGTAGTTTATTTCCTTACTCACTTATCTAGTAGATTAGTCAGCAAATGAAATCTCTGGAATTTGGACCATCTCTATATTTTCCCAAATATGGAAACTAAATATTTCTACCTTGTGTTTCCCCACCACTGTAAAGCTGATTTTGCAGTATTCTTGCAAGGACATCTATTTGTTCATCAGAATTGATGTGGGGTTTTTTTTGTTTGTTTGTTTTTGTTTTTGTTTGGTTTTGTTTGTTTTGTTTTTTGGGGTTTTTTTAATCTTACATGATTAAGTCTTGAGATCCTGTCACTTCACTTTGTTGGTTTCACCAAAATGCAGGATTTGGACTGGAGCAGGGGAGATTTCTTGGTTTTTGGTCCTCACAGGTTGCTTCCCAGGGAAGAGCTAATTAAGTGCAGCCTGGATCTGTGCCCCAGCACTTCTGAAGCTACAGAGGGTGTGAGTCACCAAAGCTCACCTGTGACATCCCATGCTTTGCCACTGTCTGCTTCATGCTGCTGTCATTTATATTCAATATGTTGCTTTTAAATAGCATGAAGAGATAATTAAGTGCAAGCTTATACTTGTTTGGAGTGTTTCACATAGTTTTTGCTTTCATGAAGGAAGAGCTCCATGTCACTGGAATAATGAAAACTCAGTGTGTTTCAGATTGGCATGTGTCAGCCACTAAGGCTGCCTGAACAAAACACTGTTCTGAATTTGTCAAAAAAGTAAAAGTCGAGTTACTTGACATTTCACCTAGTCTTTCACAAACTCTTAGATCATCTGGTATTTAGGTTGCCTTGCTGGCATCTGGCTTCACAGTACACCAGACTTTTTATTACTTGAGTACCTTATCTGCATGACCATAAGTGCATGATAAATTACAGTGAAGAGGTAACTCTGCTGTAATTATGGTTGAGTCACAGTTTATTTGCAGACAATATTTTAAATGTTCTAAGACCTGTCTGTCAACTCATTTATGTTCGTGCCATACAAAAGTCACTGGTCTCAGCTAGTCCACATCATAAAGTGCCCAGTGCTCAGCTGTTGGCAGAGTTGAGGTGGTTTCTCCTGGGGAAGTCTCTGGGCTCTGAATATTGAGCGCACAGGGCTTAACTTCAAGGACAGCTTATAAAGATGAAGAGGAAGAAGACCATTAGGGGTGGGATACAGAGGACTCAGGTATGTCCTCACTGTTTGTCCTCACTATTTCTGGCTTCAAAAAGTGTCCTCACAGTGAAGGACCAAAGGATGGTAGCTGGATGAGGTAGTGTTCAATCCCCACAAGGAGCAAGCAGCAGCCAGGATCTGAGGGTGATCATCTGTAGTACCTGCCTCCAGTTTCTGAGTGCTGTAGGGCTGGATATGAGCATACCTGCTGGGAGCTGGCTGTTTTCAGCTCTCTGAACTCTTCCTTTTGGATTTATTCACCTCTGGTTCATCCATGTGCAATTTAGAGTGTAGCTTAATCAACCTAACATGTGTAACTGTAAATATTATAAACTGTGAAGGATAATTAGGTGAAGTAGCAGGGGAAATTTCTTAAACTGGGTTTACTCCTAAGGGGCTTGTGATTTGGAGTGAGGGCTCACCACTCCAGTGACATTCTGGTCTTGCTGACTGCAGGGCCTAGGAACAGAACAGCAGAACCCTGACACAGGCTCTGAACAGCATCTTGCAGAAAACTGAGGTTTCAGTCAGGCCAAAAAACACTGAATTTGCACTAAACTCTGAGCTGCTCTGCACAAGTCAGGATGCATTCACACAATATCCCCACAGTCACTCAGTGAATGACTTCCAGATGCATTTGCCCAGAGCTAGACTAGAAACTGCTGCTCATTGCTACAAACCTAGATTGCAGAATCCATTGCTGCAATAAGGCAGCAGGGAGCCCTCAAATGACAGGAATATCTTCCTATCAAAAAGAGCAAAAACTCTTTCAACTCTCAGCAGCAGAGCTGTCATCCATTCAGTGCAGCCCATAATTATTTGTTGCTGTATCCGCTACTAGGGAGAAGAAAAACAAGGCAGTCATGACAGTATCTGAATTCTGGATTGGGTTGAATTTTAGGCAAAGTAACTCTGCAGTTCTTAATAAAATTGGCCATTCCTGAAAACTGTAGTATAATATAGGAGTTGCTGTCATCCCCTCAGAAAGTTTTGGGTGGTGACAGGGAGAGCTCAAATGGACTTCACTGCAATTAGCCTGGGGCAAGCTGCACCCTTTCTTTATTGCGTTTGTGCACCTCTGGCTTTCCAGGGCGCCTCATGTGTAACTCTGCTGTAGCTGTCCAGTGGTACCTCCGTAATACCCAGGTGTTGCTCACCCTGGGATCAGGAGTAATAAATAGTACTCCGGAAAGTGGAACAACACCTCTGGCCATGTGATTTGGTTTCTTAAATCAAGTGTAGTGTTGAGTTTGTGGCACTGAGAGC